TCAATAATTTACTTGTTTTGATTAATTTATACCTTTATGCCTATACATTTTATAGCACTTAATGAATTAAAGAATTAATAATAATGTATTTCTGCATACTAAGAATTGCTAGAAAGTTAAAATTTATTAGSATTGAGTCACCAAAATGTAGACATTAAAAATTTAACGATATAATAAATTAAACGTATTTATTAAACTGGCAATAGATCTCTAGGTTATACAAAACTTTTGGTAACAATTAGAAATACATAACCACCAAAATTATGTGTCATGAAAAGCATTTAACTTTGAATATAGTTATCACCTACCCTCTAGTTGATTCAGCTGTAGTTCTTACACCATCTTATAGAAAATAATTAAAAAATTACATATTGTGTGAATGTATTGTATAATATACTTATAACTTATAGCCCAGTAACCCAAACTTCTGTGTTCATATATTTTAACATGTGTGTTTGTTTGTAAATTGTTTCATAATTTATTACTTGTTTATTATTTACAGGCCTATTTATTTTTATATTATAATGCTAAAAAAATAACCTAATATACTTTACAGGGTACAAACTATGAAGAATTCGATTCAAGTTGTGTTTTTCAATTGGCTCACGCTGGACARAACCCTTTAATATTTTGCTCTGATACCGAACAGTTGGCTAAAAGGTATGCCTAGAGTAAATGTGTGTAAATTCAACTTTTTGTGATGTTATATAATGACCTATAGGCTATAGGTGTTCTAAGTTAGTTAAATTTTTATTTATGTTTATATCTAATGATATATACAAAATTATGAATGGGTCTTTGCAGAAAAGAATTTTTTGAATCGGTACATAAAATTACCTATTTAGGCTTCTTTTCTGCAATCATTTTCATTATAATATAGTGAATGAATTTCCATCTAACAAAATGTTTTGTTTAACAAATTTCTCTATACTAMAATTTTTTTTTGTTAAACCGAAGTTTTACTATGTTATTTATTTTATTTAACAAACCCATAATTATATTGACTATTAGAGTATTATTTCTTATTACCTTAATTTAAAGTAAAATAATTTAACTCATAAAATGTATTAATTGTGMAATTCATTGTAAAAATAATTAAACATTATTTTTCATCATTAACAGGTATTATTTAAAGTAAAATAGCTTAATATAATGATATGATCATCATTTAATATGGTAATATAATAAGAAAATCCTTACTAAACACTAGGTACAAGTGATATTTTAAATATCCATTTATCTGATAAAATTCTCAGAGTATAAAAAAAAATTAATTTCTTAATATTATTGTTAAACAATTACTTGTTTTACAAATTGTGCTTTGATATAATTTAAAATCATGATCATACTATACATATGTAATTAAACCATTTTCCTTTGAATTTACTAAAAAATAATAGGTACTCCTATTTAGTATATAAAGATGTTAAGATTCCTCACTTATTTTATTATTTGTTTGAATTACACTATACAGAACCTTGTAGTACCTTAAATTGTTGGTAATTGAACACA